AAGAGCTATCGCGTTAAGTATTTCGAGCGTGAGCTCGGCGTGTCGCGAGTACTTTTGCGTGCGTACTATCGGTTTGTGTGTGCTTGGATGCGCTAAACGTATGTTAGATTGGTTATCGGTACATAATATCGTTGCTGTGTGTTTGTCCTTGACGTATTAAACTAGCGTGTCGCGTTTGCGTGTGAGAATCTTCGAATTGATAGTAGTGTCTTTGTGTCTGCATGAGGTTCACCGATTGCGATATCGTGCGATTTCCCGACGTGTGCACCATCCGAGAAGAAGCCTTACGCTTAGAAATTTTCGGTCGAGTCTCGCGACGGAATGTTCGATTCCGTGGAGTATGCATGAAGACTCGCAAGATCCCGACATCGAATTTGCTTTTTCAATCTGTTCGCTAAACTATCGTTCTCTTTGTAACTATCGTGACTTTCCGATTTCATGTCTTAATCGATTCTACAGCGCAACCATCATTACTCTCCTTTATTAATATTTTTCTCTGTCGATCGACGGCTTTTCCTTCTTTATTTCATTGTTTCTTTTTTGTATTTTCTTTTGCCTCGATATAGTAAACACGCTTATAATTTACATATTGGTGACGATTGTGTTATTCGTCCTCCTATCCTTAAATATCCCGTTCATCCTCCTGCAGACTGGCCCTTACCCGAACACCTCGCCCCTTTGCCGTTAGATAGAACTAGCCAGCCCGTGAGCGAAAGTTTGCTCTCGGTTTTCGCGATATTTGGTGCTCGTAGGATTTCATGGCTCTAGCGTGGTCGCGTTCACGTTCGTGAAACTGATGTCGCCTTGGAGCACGTCTGGCGCCCAACTTTGTCGCGAGTTACGATTCTCGCTCAAGGTGTATTTTCTCGTGCGAGGGCCTCCATCTTCCCTCCGTCCCGATTGATCCGCCGTTTCCCGAGTGCGCTCCCGAGCGCACTCCAATCAATGCAGATAAAGGCATGGCAGCAGATAGGCACACAAGTGCAAATTCGTATAGGCAAACGTATGAACAGACCTCATAAAAGAGACTTTCAAATGTTTTTAATTCAGAAACTAGACATAGAAATGTCCTGTAACTTGAGATTTTTCATTAGAGATACAAGAATTACAATATACAGAAGTTCAAGCAAATTGATTGAAAACGTTTTTTTCATATAAATTGTGCTTGATTTTTTTCAAAAAAACACTATTTCTTTTACTTACACGTTTGTGGACGGAGATCAACCTCTTTTCCTCCTTTGTAAAAATATTCCTTCATAAGGAATATTTCTAAATCGAATAATGTAAATAATAATAAGAACATGAATATGTGTGTTATATGAATTTAAACATTCTTAATTAACTTAAACAAGCGTACAATAAAATTTTAATTTTGCCTATATTATACAGTATTTAGGCAGATGTCAAAGTATTAAAAATCTTATGGCAAATTAAAACTGTGCGACAGAAAATTAAGAGGAAATTTAAATATACTAAAAAATAAATAAAACTGATAAAGTGCGCACGTTATATTTATGTATAATAATTTAACATTACAGTAGTGTAAAATGGATTAATTATAGGTGGAGACCGAAAAGACAAGAGAACTTGTAACCATGACGTGGAAAAATGGCTTTGTAGAAGTATCTGCGAAAGAAAACCTCAACATCTCTAAAATATTTAAGGAACTTCTTATCCAAGCGAAGTTGAAATATGATTTGAGTCCGGCATTGCAACGTCGCCGTCGACAATCTTTGCCGCCTCCGCAACATCTGAATTCGCGCAGCAGCAGTAGTACCCACGTGCCGTCCGCAACTCAGTTACAACATTTGCAACAAATTCGTGAGCGTTCCGATTCCAAAAGGAATTCCTGTATCCTATCATAAGGTGAGAAACCTTTGATATTGTCGCGAAATATCTTTCTTGATGATTTGATGCCGAATTAGTAATTTCCATGTAATTATCCAGTTATTATACAATATGTCAGGCGGTTAATTGATCCAAATTTACTTGCGGATGTGACACCTTGGATATCGATCACACGAAATTTGCAAAATATTTTATAATTTTTTCATTATTTTAATCTTTTTGATTTAATTGACAATTATACGTTAATTTCTCATTGTTAAAATTATTAAATTTAAAATAATTTCAGTCCAATTTAGAATGTAATCTTCCCTGACAGAAAAACTTTACGGAAATTTACATAGATTGAGACAAGACCTTAAAAATTATTATCATAGATATTCGTAGTGGGACGTAGAGCGGCGTTATTTGTATGAAAAACCTAGAAATCTTGCTCTCTCAAATAACGCCACTCTATGTCCCACTACGAATATCTACGAAAAATTAAGAATTTTTAAGATCGTGTCTCAATCTATGTAGTTATTTTGTACCTACTCATAAAATTTTTTTTCCGCCAGGGTTATTATGAAAGAAAAATTGAACGTTTCGACTCACTTTGGAGTTCTGTCAGTAATTATTGTACGAAACATTATATGTCACTATCTTTTGTAAGTCTCATTGAGTCACCAACAAATTTACAGATTTTGTTGAAAAAAAATCTATTAAATTTTAAATTGTCATATCAATATATCGACTAAAAAAATTTTTATTAAAAAAAATCAAGAAAAGAATGAAGATGACTTACTTTAACAAACAAAGAAGTTGTCTTGAAACTTTAGATCAAATTGAATTATGTATGAAATTAAGCATCATTGCAAAAATAAATTAAATAACAGTTCTTACAGATTATATGCTTACAGTAGAGCGTCAAAACCATAACTGATAAATTTCAATCATAGTTTTTAATTCCTGAGGAGGACTTCAAAGTGAGTCGAAACGTTCAATTTTAGGATTAACAAAATAAAAGAATGATAAGAATTTTTATTCTATTACTTTGCGTATTGATTATTACACCGTATTTTCATTCACCCTGTTGGATTCTACTATTGGTTTTAATAATTTCAGTATCAGATTGCGAATGTAAGTATTTTATTGATAATGGTTCATCTCATGATTACAAATTTATACGTTTAATCGCAAGTCTTTATATGTCGCTTTTCGAAGTACCGCCGTGGAGATATTCAACATTGAAAAGTTATTCAACATTGAGTAAAAGAAATCGTTTTTACTTCATTGTTGGTTAACTCGTTGAAAAAGATCATACAACGCTCAACAAAAATAACAATAACCAGACGAAAGCATGCATCTAAATGAACCGACAGAACTTTACTATTTGCAGCGTTCTACCCTCTCCACTTTTCCCTCACCAACTGACGCTGCGTTCGTCGTCCACGATCCGGCCCGACTACGGCCGGCGCTACGTCGGCGAGCTTTGACGCGAAGCGAACAAGACAGCGAGAGAACTCATCCGTCTCGCTTTGGTTGCTTGACATCGCCTAATCACCGAGCGATCGAGAACGCTTTCTTATCTGTTTCCATTATTCGGCGTATACAGAGTGTCCGGAAAATCGCCCGCAATACTTCGGGAAGTGATTCGGGACCTAAAAAGAAGGAAAAAACTATATAGATCCGAAAATAAATCGTTTCCGAGTTATAATCATTTTTATGTTAAGAAAATTGTAATTTATTTTTATAATCACAATCATAATTTATTTCATAGTGTTTTAACGTAAATAACTACATTTCGGACTATTTTGGCGTTACCAGGATGCATTACGTATGTGGAGGCATAGTTCGCTTGGCATTCCTCTTTATTTATTTTTTTTATTTAAAAATTTTTTTACTTTCCTAGAGGCGGAATGCCAAGCGAACTATGCCTTCACGTGGTGCATCCTGGGTAACGCCAAAGTAGTCTGAAATGTAGTTATTTATGTTAAAACGTTATGAAATAAATTATGATCATGATCATAAAAAATAAATTATAATTTTTTTTACATAAAAGTGATTATAATTCAGAAACGACTCATTTCTAGACCATATTTATAGCTTTTTTTCCTTTTTTTTGGATCTCGAATCACTTCCCGAAGAATTAAAGGGGATTTTCCGGACACCCTGTACAAAGGAACAAAGGGAAAATTCTATCGTATAATTTTGAATAAATTATAGTTATAATAATAATATATAGACTATTTCGTGTGAAGTGGATCAGTTATCTCTCAGAAATTTTTGAAATTTTGCACATAGATAGTATTCTGATAAAGATAGAATTTGGTACCAAAGGATTTTTTTCATTGCAAAATTAATCGAGAAAGAAATAATTAAAAATTACACTATATATTGTGTAAAAATTTATAACTTTATTACTAATAATCCTAGCTGACTTTTTTTAATTTACGAAAAATATTCTAGTTTATGAGAAAAAAATGAACATTCCAAAAAGGTTTGGTTTTCCATTGTTTAAGTATTTAACAATAAACGTCTTAACAATTTATTAAACAATCGCGGATAGAGTCGAAAAATCTAGAAAGATATTTTTTATATACTTTCAGTTTCTTTTCCTACGTCTTAGAAAAAAAAGTTCAAGAACGTGTTTTACTTCGTTTTCGAGAAAAAAATTTGTCAGTTCTCGATACGGGAAAAATCTTTCCATTCTCAGCATGGTGGCCGCGCAAGCGTGCTATGCTAATAGTATGATGGAGATATTTTGTAAGTTGCGTGCGGTCGTCGTGCTAGAAAGATTTCGTTGCGAGGAAATCGAAAGATTTCCTCGCAACGAAAACTGAAAAAATTTTTTTCTCGGAAACGAAGCAAAACACGTTCTTGAATTTTTTTAAGATATAGAAAATTGAAAGTATATAAAAGATATTTTCCCAGATTTTCCGACTCTCCACGATTGTTTAAAAAATTGTTAAAGAATTTATTGTTAAATAATCAATGGAAAACAAAACCTTTTTGGAATGTTCATTTTTTTCTTGTAAACTAGAACATTTTCCGCGTAAAAAAAACAAAGTTGAAAAAAGTTATAGCAGTTTGAATTTCGCGAGGAGCCAAATTGATTAAATTAGTCCTTCTAATGTTAAAGGAAAATTTCATTTACATTTAAAAATATTATTCATTGATTAAGTTTGACGCATACCATGCATATCGAATTATTTTCCTATATTTGTTGGTTTAAAAGTACACAAATAATTGTAATAATTATATAAGAATATATGTTAGCATTAATAATCAATAAACGCATTAAGTCAAATTTGACTTAATGCGTTTAGTAATAATTAATTTAATTACTTCAGAAAATATACTACGAAAGAAAGGGAAAAAGCAGGATTCGCGCATTTTTTGCTCTGTGACGGTCACACCGATATGTTGCGTTTTACATTTACAAATGCGATACATAATCCACACGGAAAATTTTAAGAATATCTTGTAAAGTTGTACTAGTACGATTTCTGTAACCGTAAATTAATGAAAAGGAGTATACATTACATGTATAACATATTCGTCATTTAACGTAATTCTTTAGAATATTACAAAGCGGAACGGTATAGTGACAAATACAATTTTGTATTCATTATAAAAAATTGTATTCACTTAATTCATTGCAATTTTTATTAATATGCTTATCTTTTTAGCTTAAGTATTGAATATAGGCATTTTAATCAATAAATATCGTTAAAAATTAATAATTTATAATTCCCCGTTCCGCTTTTCCGCTCAAATTGTGCTCCATGTAATATTAGAAGATAAAAGCAGGCGGAACTAAAGAGCTTTAAAGGAAGAGAGTGGCAAATTGTATAACGTGAACCGTCTCCTCTGACTGGACGCGGGCATTAAAGCTCCATAGGCATGGAAGAGCTGATTGGAGAAAACTGATCACGTGACCCTCGTCCTGATTGACAATCACGTGATGCAATTTGCCACTCTTAAAGTCATTAGATAACAAAGTACCGCGATGAGAAAAATCACTAAATTAGCATTTGGAGCCAAAATAGCATTGAGTGCAGATATTGCATTCAGTGTAATGTATCTATATATTAAGTGCAATCCAAAGTGCAATCCTAACCTGATTATATTCATACATAAATTTGAAATAACCGCGTCAAGAAGCCAAAATGGTGGCAATTCGCGGTACTTTCTTAATCTAGTGACTTTAGCCACTCTCTCTCTCTTTGAGGCCCTCTGGGCGGAACAGAACGCGCGGAAACGCGGAAAGTAAAGTTTAATTAATTTTGTCTTCCGCATTTCCGCTTCATGTAAGAGCACGTTCACACATTGACGGAAAAGCAGAAAGCGGAAAAGCAGCAGCCAATCAGAATTCGCGATGGTAATCGACAATTTCGGCTTTTTGTACTACTTACTACCAGCGCGAGTTGTGATTAGCTACTGCTTTTCCGCTTTCTGCTTTTCCGTCAAGGTGTGAACGCACCCTAATGGAATTTTCATGATTGGTTTAGAAAAGACATCGGTGGAGTGTAATTGACGGAATGCTTGCGATTGTTCGGATATCGTTCCGCCAATTTCGCATTGCGTATACGTTTCGCACCATGAAACCATACCATAACTTGCGTAAACGTAACTTGCATCAACCAATCAAACTGTATCAGCTACTACGCGTTATTTTATTAGGTTTGTTCATGTCGCTAGTTCCAACGTGCTCCAACATGCTCCTACAATAGCTCCACTCACTCTATCAAGCGCGTTGGAGTGAGTAAGAGCTATAGTAGGAGCATATTGGAACATGTTGGAGCATGCGACGCGACAAACCTATTATAGTTGAGACGATTTGATTGGCTGATGCAATTTACGTTTACGTAAGTCACGCTGCATATGAAAGCAACCTGGGGATCTATTCTTGAAAAAAAAACGTATACGAAAGTCTAGGGAAATATTACAGTATATGTTACATATACTATAATATTTTCCTAGTTTTTCGTATACGTTTTTTTTTTCAAGAATAGAGCCCCTGGGCTTCTATTCTTGAAAAGTATCGCATACGTAAAACTAGGGAAATATTATAGCACATGTTACGTTACGTGCACTATAGTATTTCCCTAGTTTGTCGTATGCGATACTTTTCAAGAATAGGGGTCCTGAACGTAACCATTTCGTCGGTGCGCAGGCGCACAGTGTATGGAAGCCATCACGCTATTTTCATGAGCATTGCATCATTCGCTCGAGAAAGATTCACCTACTAGTACGAAATCCATAAACGTTGCTAAAGATTCGAGATGGTCTTAGGCCAGTATTCATAGTCAGATCTTATATTCAAGACCGTCTTAAGTACAGTCTTAAGAAGTTATGAATCAATCAGAGGGCCGTATTAGCATCATAAGACATTACTTAAGATAGTCTTGAAATAAGAACGGACTATGAATACTGTCCTTAAACTAGTGCTCGAACCAATCAGAGAGCCGTATTAGCATCTTAAGACATTGACTGCGTTCAGCAGACTCAACAGTTTTGCAACCGTTTTATGATTGTCTGCTGAGATAGGACCATTCTTCTAGATCTAAAAGTATGATCCAATCAGCGCGAAGGAAACTTCCAACAGTTGCAAAATAAACGTTCTGCTGAACGCAACCATTGCTTGCGATTAAGACCGGACTATGGATTCCGACCTAGGCTTTTATATACTACAAGTTCCAACTTTAAAGTTTTCATCAGTTTTCATCACGAGTTCGAGGTTATTCAGGTGGTTCAAGAGGTGCCGGGCTAATTGAAAAAGTTAATCAACGTTTTGCAATGATAACTGTGGAAGAAGACATAACAAAGCGTCCACATTTTCGGTTGAAGGTTGATCTTTCCAAGTTTTTCCACGATGCACGCCGGTCCTGTTGGATCTTTATCGTTGGAACGAAAATTCAGCAGATTAATCATTTGCAGCAACATATTAGTAAACTGTTCAATATTGCGGAACCATTCCATTTGCTGCTGAATGACACCGAATATCTGCCACCAATAGAGGATGTGAGAATACTTAAGGAGAATGAGACAATTCTGTTAGTATTATATTGTATCTTAAATTGGTTAAAATTATTTAGAATACGGTCCTCACATCCGATTTGATAAAATTAGGCTTATTCGACACGTTTTTGCACGAAACAAAAGAATCTATAACAAAAAACGGTAAATGTTAAGAAGACTCGGTCCACTAAAATTTTGATAAAAATATGCTCAATCAATGCGTTTTCTTTTGAAAATGAAGAATCTATGGTAAAGGTGCAATTTACCCCAATCAACTCAAAAATTGATGAAATTATACCCATTCGACGCGTTTTTGCATAAAACGAAAGAATCTAGCAGAAAAAAGTGTCGCTTTGCCCCGCGAACTGAGACATTAATCGTTAAAGTTCACGACTATTTAGATTAGGAAATCTGTCACGGTCATGCAACACTGCGATGCAAGCATGTGCTGCAAACATCATATTTTCATACTCTATGTATATCCACACATTAATATATAGGGTGTATAATATATGTATATATACATATTTATATATTATTTATACAGGGTGTTTGGAAAGTAATGAAAAATCTTTTGCATAGGGGCAAAATGGACTAAACTGAGAAGAAAAGTCCTCTACCATTTTACAATTTT